ATGGAAATATGCCAAATTAAGATCCTAGATATGTGACAGAAACTTGTACCACCCCAAAGGGTACCAGCTGGGCACACTCACACAGATCACCCTTTCTCATTACAGAAATCCAGTCTCAAAACAGCATCGGGGCTAAAATTAAGAAGTGAGGAAACAACAAATGTTGGCGAGGATGTGGAGAAGGGGGAACCCTCTTACACTGTTGCTGGGAATGTAAGCTAGTGCAGCCACTCTGGAAAACAGTATGGAGGTTCCTCAAAAAGTTAAAAATAGAGCTACCCTACAACCCAGCAATTGTACTACTAGGTATTTTATCCAAAGGATACAAAAATACTGATTTGAAGGGGCACATGTACCCCAACGTTTATAGCAGCAATGTCTACAATAGCCAAACTATGGAAAGAGCCCAGATGTCCATCGACAGATGAATGGATAAAGAAGATGTGGTGTATATATACACAACGGAATATTACTCATCCATCCAAAAAATGAAATCCTTCCATTTGCAACAATGTGGATGGAACTAGAAGGTATTACACTGAGTGAAGTCAATCAGAGAAAGAAAATTATATGATCTCACTCAGATATGGAATTTAGGAAACAAACCAGAGAAGCATAGGGGAAGGGAGGGAAAAATAAAACAAGACGAAATCAGAGAGGGAGACAAACCATAAGAGACTCCTAACTATAGGAAACAAACTGTTGCTGTAGGGGAGGTGGGTGGGCGGAAGGGGTAACTGGGTGATGGGCATTAAGGAGGGCATGTGATGTAATGAGCACTGAGTGTTATATACAACTGATGAATCACTGATCTCTACCTCTGAAACTAATACTACACGGTATGTTAATTAATTGAATTTAAATTTTAAAATTTTTAATTAAAAAAAACACAGCATTGAACCATATCCTTTTCTCCAGTCTCCTCTGTAAGAATTATTTTGTATTTTCATCTTGATGATGATCAAAAAAAATTAGCTCATATTTAACGATAAATACTGCTAAGAGTTTTTCAATGTCCAAGTTTGTATTTAGTGGCTAATGGGAAGAGAGGAAGACTTAAAATGTAAATCATGTACAAGTACAGTAAAATGCTAATAGCAGAACCTAAGTGATGGGCATACACATATTCACTATGCTGTCAAATTTTTTAAACACTGCTGCCTGGCTTTAAGATTGTCATAATAAAGTGGTGGGGAGAAATATGAATCATGCATCTGTACCAAATGAAGATAAATGATGTCACAACATGCTAAAGGGAAGCTTCCTAGTCATTCAAACAGAAAAAGTGGTAGAGAGAAGTACATCATCACCCCACAGGCAAACCGCATAGGCATGCCAAACCCCCAAAACCATAATTAACTTTACACTCACCTTAAAAGACACAATCCAGTTTCAAAGAAAAAGTCTCAGCTATATTGTTAATGTGAATATTATTAGTTTTGTAGATTTGTTTGCATTTAGTTTGTAAATCTGTTTTAATTTTGAAGTCATATAAGCACAAAGAGTTTAAATTGTTTTTTATCTGTACTTACTCAAGTTGCATTATTTAAAAAGTAATCAAGATGCAAGGGACCTTGAATAGACCAAAACAAACAAAAAACAAAACCTTAAAAAAAGAACAAAGTTGGAGGACTCACATTACCAAATTTCAAAACTTACTACAAAGCTACAGTAATCTAGACAGCGTGGTACTGGCGTAAGGATAGACACATAGACCAATGGAACAGAACTGGGAGTCCAGAAATAAGCCTAAATACCTATGGCCAGTTGATTTTCAACAAGAATGCCAAGATCATTCAATGGGAAAAGAACGGTCTTTTCAACAAGTGTCGCTAAGACAACTGGATATCCACATGTAAAAGAATGAAGTTAGACCCCTACCTCACACCACATATTAAAATTAACTCAAAATAGGGGCGTCTGGATCGCTCAGTCAGTTAAGCATCTGACTATTGGTTTCGGCTCAGGTCACGATTTCATGGGTTGTGAGCTCGAGCCCCACATCGGGCTCTGTGCTCAGCAGGGAGTCTGCTTGAAGAGTCTCTTCTCCCTCTGCCCCTCCCCTGACTCCTGCTCTCTCTTTTTCTAAAATAAATAAATCTTTTTAAAAAATCAACTCAAAATAGACCAAAAACCAAAATGTAAGAGCTAAAATTATAAAATTCTAAGAAATCACAGGTTCAAATTTTGTGATCTTGGATTAGTCAAGGATTTCTTATGTGTGACACCCAAAGTACAAGCAGCCAAAGGAAAAATAAATAAATCAGACTTCATCAAAAGGAGAAACTTCTGTGCATCAAAGGACACCATCAAGATAGTGAAAAGACAACCTACAGGATGGGAGAAAAGATCTGCAAGTCATATATCTGATACGTGTCTAGTAAGTAAAATATATAAAGAATTCTTACAACTCAACAAAAACAAAACACAATATTAAAAAAAAAAAAAAATGGGTAGATGACAAATAGCCAAAGCAACCTGAAAAAGAAAAACAAAACTGGAGGCATCACAATTCTGGACTTCAAGCTCTATTACAAAGCTGTAGTCACCAAGACAGTATGGTACTGGCACAAAAAACAGACACACAGATCAGTGAAACAGAACAGAAAACCCAGAAATGGACCCACAACCCTATGGTCAACTCATCCTTGAAAAGCAGAAAAGAATATCCAATGGAAAATACAGTCTCTTCAACAAATGGGGTTGGGAAAACTGGACAGCAACATGCAGAAGAATGAAACTGGACCACTTTCTTACACCATACACAAAAATAAATTCAAAATGGATGAAAGACCTAAATGTGAGGCAGGGAATCCATCAAAATCCTAGAGGAGAACAAAGGCAGCAAACTCTTAGACCTTGGCCATAGCAACTTCTTACTGGACATGTCATCGGAGGCAAGAGAAACAAAAGCAAAAATGAACTACTGGGACTTCATCAAGATAAAAAGCTTCTGCACAGCGAAGGAAACAATCAACAAACTAAAAGGCAACCTATGGAATGGGAGAAGATATTTGCAAACAACATATCCGATAAAGGGTTAGTATCCAAAATCTATAAAGAACTTATCAAACTCAACACCCAAAAAACAAAAAATCCAGTCAAGAAATGGGCAGAAGACACGAACAGACATTTCTCCAAAAAAGACACAGAAATGGCTCTCTCTCTCCCTAAAATAAATAAATAAATCTTTAAAAAATAAAAAATAAATAAACCCACTGGAGTAAATACTTTAAAAGAGTAAATTTTATGGTAAATGAATTATATCTCAATTTAAAAAATAACAAAATAACAAAAGAAAAAGTCAACTCTGGGAGTCCACTAACAGAAAAATCCAGAAAGTTGATCTAGGCAATAAGTTCATGAACTATTCAGTCATTCTTTGTATTTGCCTAACGGCAGAAAAATGTTTCAATCTCCCCTTATCTAAATAACAAGATTTGCTACATCTAAAGTAAGTTCCAGAATTTGGTCACCAGGCTACACAGTACAACACACATATACAGGAGAGAAATGTCTTCACTTTGGAAAAGTTCTCTTATTTCTCAAAGAATCCATAAAGGCATCCAAGGGGAAGTTTGGGATGCTTTGCAAACTATTTCCTTAAGACTCATTTCTGAGACCAAATGCTATGTGCGGATTTTTAAATCTCACCGTCTATGATAGTTCTAGTGTGGCAATATACAAATCAGTCACCTTCATATGTGAGCACATGGCACACAAGAATACTACCATTATCATCATATTTGTTTAAAGTTTATTGAGATTCTCACTGTGAATTAGCACAATTTTAAACAGACTACATCAAAAAAGGCTAGACAAAATGCCCCATACATCCAAGCTGTCAGCTCTTTTCATTTATTCACTCACATGTCAACAATATGAACCCATATGTGACAGGTACAGAGAACATGGCAGTTAAAAAACAGACCTGGGGGGCACCTGGGTGGCTCAGTCAGTTAAGCGTCTGCCTTCAGCTCAGGTCGTGATCCCAGGGTCCTGAGATCAAGTCCTGTGTTGAGTTCCCTGCTCAGCGGGGAGTCTGCTTCTCCCCCTCTGCCCCTACTCCTGCTCGTGCTGTCTCTCTCTCTCTCAAATAAATAAATAAAATCTTTAAAAAAAACAACAAAAAAACAGAAAAACAGACCTGGCACCAGCCTCACTGCAAAATCCACAATCCCAAGCAGAGAGGCTGTGAGCAAGTCATTACAACACGGCCCAGTGACTGGTACAGTATAAGAGAAGTGGAGGCTGCTATGGGGGCATAAAGCAGAAGAATCACTCTGGGGGCCTAAGGAAAGGGCCCCTAGAGCAAGAGGTACTCGAGTTCAAACCTAAAGGACAAGCAGGTCATCAGTCTGATGAAAATGAGGAAGAAGACTTCCAGACCGTGGAAAGTATTTGCAGCCCCCCCAAAAAACTGAAAGAGCAATGCTCATTCTAAAAACTAAAAGGGGGAAAAAAAAGCCAAAACTAGAAAGAGTAGTCATGTGCCAGAGGGTCTTGAAAGACATTTTAAGGGGTCTGGGCTTTATCCGAAGGGAAATGGGAAATCATTAACAATCAGGTTGTGGGACAGCAAGACTAGAGCAAGGAAACCCAACAGCGGGCTGTTTCCAGGATCCAAGGGAGAGATGATAGTAAGCTGGTATGTGGGGGGCGGCAGGGCGGGGCAGAGGAGATGGAGAAGTAGGTAGATCTAAGAAATCTTCAGGAGGGACAATCAATAGGACTTACTCTTCTGGTACAGGAAGTAAGGGAAAGGAAGGAGTTAAAGACACCACAGGGATTCCAGATCTGGAAAGCTGGGTAGACAGCACTGTACATTTACTGAGCCAGAGAAAACTGAAGGATAAACAGGGGTGGGGTGGGGTGGGGTGGGGAAGATGGCAGACTCCCAGCCCCTGGCCCGTCACCGAGGCTTCGGTTCCTGGGACACCCAGCACGCGGAACCTCATCAGCATCTCACAGCGCACCTGGCTGAGCTGAATGCCCCTTACCCTGGTCCTTTCTCCGGAAGGTCCACCTCCACTGACAGTGGACTGTAGACAGGAATGCTGACATCATAGCCTTGCCGGTAAGTCCACGTAGAAAAGCCACCACCAGCCAATAGAGCCCTGAAAGCAAAGGATTTTGTCAAACAATGAGAAAGAAAGGTCTTCGTTCTGATAAGCTCTGTGGGAAGGGATAGGAGTAACTGGGTCAATAATAATATCAACAAAGGCCTGTTTCCTGAGTCACTTGTCTCTGAAGACACCGTGCTCAATGTTTCACAGTCACACCTCCTGGACATCGATCCCTGAGTGAGCAGCCTCCTTCTGGGGTCCTAAGTGGTCCTTCTTTTCCATTGTTTTAAAACACATCACAGCCCAGAGGCCACCCTGTGAACAGCCCCTCTGCTACCTTATTCAGATCCCATTCACCCCTCCCCAAAGTCCTACCCCACTCCGCAACTCTCACACCAGCAAGAACAGACAACAGGTCTGCACGGGAAGCCTGCCTGAGACAGTCGCTCACCCACCCTCTGGCCTGAATCTCAGGCGACAATGGGCACAGAAAGCAGTGGGGACAGCGAAGTATCTCATCCCGTGCTGCGCATGCCCCAGCCTCTCTGCAATGCCCGCCCCGGGCAGGTCTCTCCGTGCTGTCCAAGAGCTGCGTGTGAATCGTGTGGTCTCCATCAGCTCTCGCCTCCACTGCAGTTACTCAGTCCCCGTACAGGAAGCATGAATCCATAATTGGACCGTTAGTGCCTCACTTGCACGTTGTATGCACTAGCTTTTCTTCTCCTTAATTAGAAAACTGTGAACATACTGTTTTAATTGGATCCAGCAAACAGTACAGTGACACTTCATCAGAGAAAGGAAGCAGGTGTAGAGCACACCAACTTTTACTGTTATTCTGTCCCCAGGGCCCCAAATCCATCAAAATCACTTACTGGGGCAGAGTTTTGCCAGTTCCACGCATCGCACAGTCTGAGCCAAAACGTCTGAACTGAGAAACCACATTTTTTGCAATATTGATTGCTACCAATCCTCGCCCTGCCCTGATGACAACCTACATTCCCTTGGAACATGACCAGTTGAAGTTCAAAGATTTTCCAACCACCCCTGGAAAACCCAATCTGTTTCTTTAACCTTTATGAGACCAAGAATTGGTTAGTGAGGTAATGTGCAGACCAAAAACCTCTCCAGCTGCCTGTCTACTCTGTAAAACTTAATGACTATCCTTAGTACCAACACACGGTCTTATTTTTCCTGATTAGCATTCAGCAGTGAATCCATCCACCATGAATCTGGGCCGATGCCATGACAGCAAGCAGACTGCAGGGGACCCCATGACCTCTGTGCAGAGAAACAAACATGGATCCAATATAGAGACACCAGGCAATTCAGGTAAGCCAGGGTAGTGGGTGATTAGGTAATTACACTCACAGTCCCAAAGGAGAGGGGAACGAGCATGGGGCAAGACAGGAAGCAGGTGTGTATCACACCAACTTGTACTGTAATTCTGTCCCTGGGGCCCCAACTGTTACTCTGTTCCAGGAAAGTAGGGTGGGGGTTATGCACTGGTAGGGGGAAAGCATGCACTCGGAAGCATGTCTTACGTCACAGATCATACACTAGAGATCCCGACTTGTGACCCCCGCAAGGGCCAGGACTGCAGTCAAACAGACCTCACACCAGCCCTGCTACTGATAAGACTTCGACTTCAAGTCCCTGTATCTTCTTCTGCCACGGACTCCACACCATGATAATGGAGAAAATAGCATGAGCTTCCCTTGCTCTACAGAACACATGTTTTGCACTGAGTGAAAAGTGCATTTCTGAAAAGCACATTCTGCTTTCCTATTATGTATCCCCAAATCAGAGATCAGTTCCAAAGCTGCAAGAGACTGAATAGAAAACTTGCAGCTAAAAAAGCATTAATCTGATGATGAGACTTATGCCACGTCAAGCATTATGTCACTCGAAGTGTCCTGCAGCATCTTCAGCACGTTGCAGGCCTTCCTGACGCTAGGACACGTCCTCTGTCATAGAGCCCTCCGCAGGGCCTCACACACCCCGCCATCCCTGCTCCGGTCTGTCCTCAGACTTCTCCCAGTCCTCCTCCCGTCTGAGTGTCCAGAGGCCTAAACACAGTTCGTCTGCAAGCTCATCCTTTGCTTTCTTTTGAACCATGCATGTAATCAGGCTTGCAAATCCCTCAAATATAAAGCTTCAAATTTCGCAAAAAAAAAAAAAAAAAAAAAAGCTGACCAATTCTATTAATCATCCTCATTTGTTTACTGAATCAAACAAACTATTTTAAAAATATGTGTGAGACAGGTAAATCTGAACAATGGCTAGATATTTCACGATATTAGATTCCTATTAAGTTTTTAGGTGTGAAAATAGTACTATAGTTATAGTTTTAAAAATCCCTTATCGTGTAGAGATTCAAATGGAAATATTTACAGAGGTAATGATATAACACCTGGAATTTGCTTCTAGATAACCTGATAGGGGGTGGGTAGGAGTACAAATGAATGGAGACCAGCCCTGAGTTGATAATTACCAAAGCTGGACAGAGGGGCGTGGGTTCGCCATACTAATCTCTTCTTTTATACAGGTTTCAAATTTTCTGTAACGAGTTAAATAAAACCCACGTGAAGTAGAAACCTGTGAGAGATGTGCAAAGAAACAATAATAACAATCCAGCATAATAACAGTATTACAGAACATATACGAGAAAACAAAGATTGGTAAAGTAAGGCACTGAAGAGGTATAATTTGCTCCCACTTAAAATGGGTCTGTGTGTGTGTGTGTGTGTACATATGTATGTATGTTTGTCCACATATTTATACATGTTTGTGTATAAATCCATAAAAAAAAGGCTGGAAAAATACATAGTATTTGAGGACAATGACTACCTTTCAGTAAGGGAATGAAAATAGAGGAGGGTTTGAAACATATGTTTATATTTTACTCTTTATATGCTTGCACATTGTTGCAATCTTGTACAAAGAAACTATACCCGCAGCATGTGTAGGATTTTTAAAAATTGGAAGAGAAATAAAAACAGATTTAAGCAGGGCGCCTGGGTGGCTCAGTTGGTTAAGCGACTGCCTTCGGCTCAGGTCATGATCCTGGAGTCCCGGGATCAAGTCCCGCATCGGGCTCCCTGCTCCGCGGGGAGTCTGCCTCTCCCTCTGACCCTCCCCCCTCTCATGTGCTCTCTCTTATTCTCTCTCTCAAATAAATAAATAAAATCTTTAAAAAAAAAAAACAGATTTAAGCAGCACAAAAGATATATATGCTGAGCAGACATTTCCTTCTGTCCTGGTCCTTACATTTCCCTGAGTAAAATCATTCTCAAGCAATCACACCTAGGACCTTAGATTTCAGCAGACCCTTGACACAATCTAATCTAGCCTGCCTGCTTTCTAATCTCCAAATAATCCGATATGCAGCTCTTGCTAAAACCATTCTGTCCTCAGGGTTCTTGCCTCCCCTGAATCCAGGAACAAGGACAAAGGGTGAGAAAAACTCACAAAAAATCTACTCTTCCTTCCAACCAGAAGACCACCTAGGTTTCAAAATGAAATTTCCCACATACACAGATAAAGGAGGAACACAGTGATTCATTACTTGCTATAGGATTGCCTATAATCACTTACAAAAATACATCCACAGGGAAAAAGATTTAACCCTCCTGATCCTTAACACCTAAGCACTAGCAAGAACTCAAACTTCTTCCTGACTACTTGACACTTCCCCACAGAGAAGTGAAACCCCATTTAACATGTGCACTTGATAAAAATAAAATCCTTCTCCCATGCAAATACATATACCAAAATGTCAGCAAAAAGTGAAATGTCCCAAACAGAAATAAGCCCTTCTCAAAATAAACCCAGAACAGCAGGTGAAGACACAGCATTCCTGACAGCTTTTTCTTCCCTTCTCTATTCCCTAAAGTATTTCACTTTCCCAGAGCAACCAAATCCATAAAACAGTAGCCCACTCAGGAACGCTGAGGCTGACAGCCAAACCAGGGCTCCCCTTGTGTTTAGCTGGTTTCTATAGAATTTGTGTAGCCTGACTGCCCTCTATTGACCAAAACGCTTTCTACACCAAAGGTGGGGGGGGGATCCTGGAGTGTAGGTCTCTTCTAGCGGTAATTGTATTTCCAGATAGAAACACAACAATGACCCTACATAATCACTTAAGGTAAAGAGGCTTGGATTTAATCTTCCAGGGAAAAGTAGTACCAAGCGCAGATTTTCATAAATGATGGTGTCAGCCTTTAGCGAGCTGAGAACACCACTGGCCTCGGGCTACTCTCTAACCAGTAACAATGATTTTAAGAGTGAAACATCAACTGTAATAAAATGACTTATGAGTGAGTTCTGATGTCAACTCACAACACTGCTGTACCTTGAGTATTGCCCGGGACCCCTACCATGGGCCTCACTTTTCTGCTCTCCTCAAAGCTTTGAACCCAGTACTAGGAAAGGAACCTCATGCGGCACCCCATTCCTGAGCCTTCTGGGAAGCCTTCAGCCCAAGCAGTTCAGTCGATGTGGAAAAGGGCTGATTAACAGAGTGAGCAGACTCAGAATCATAATCCCGCAATCCCAACCACCCCACACCACATGTGCTGTTTGGAAGGTTTCATTAGGAAGAGAGGAAGGAAAGAAGTGGGTGGGGGCCAGGAGGGATGGGGGGACGGAAGGACGGACCCCACTGACTGAGGCAATGGAGAGTAAATGAACCAGAGTGCCCTCGTTCCCCTGACATTACAGGCTCTGGGTGTCACTTTCACACCCCCGTGCCCCCTTCCCACAGCAAGCTGCGGCTCTACTTTTCACAAATGCTCCCAAATTCAGACAGAGCCGACACAAGCCGGGCATGAAACAGGCCTTGGGGTTGGGGGTGCTGCACTAAGGACAGCAAAGCTCAGACTGAGAAAAAAGATCATTTTTTAAAACGCTACGCTAGGGACACCTGGGTGGCTCAGTCGGTTAAGTGTCTGCCTTTGGCTCAGGTCATGATCCCGGGGTCCTGGGACCGAGTCCCACATCGGGCTCCCTGCTGAGCGGGGAGCGTGCTTCTCCCTCTGCCTGCCGCTCCCCCTGCTTGTGCTCTCTCTGTGTCTATGACAAGTAAATAAAATCTTTAAAAAAAAATAAAACGCTTTGCTATAACGTAAGTTCTAGTTGGTTCTCCATAACAGATTTAAGCAGGTCAAGTCTCACTACATCTATGTCTCAAGGAGGGAAATGCCTAGGACAAGGTTTTATTTTAACAAACAATTCTGATTACATAGTCTGTCCCACTAGCCTTAGAAATAGGACTTCACATGAAAGAAAGGGTCTTGCATTTCCTTAACCCTCAGAAACCCATCACTGGGATAACCCCAAATACACTTACCTGTCTCTGGGGACATCCAGAGCCGTGTTATAATCTGGGGGACCTCCAGGCAACATGTTGAACAGCAGGTGGTTTGTACCTCGATCCCACCTATTAAGAAATGAAACATGTACGGGAATTTACGTGTCAACTACAAAGGAACAGAAACAAGAATCAGTTACTGAATGATAAGCAGCAAGTATCCCCAACCCCAACTAGGGCCACTTCTCAGAGGTGCAAAGTGAATTCCTAGAAATCCCAAGAGTACATCAGACACTAGCCTGGCTCCTCGAAAGAAAAAACAGGTAGATGTGTACTTCGAGCCTGGCCACTACAGGTGTGCCTATGATAATGACAACCTGAAAACGATCTGAATGTTCACCATTTGGTTAAAGAAACAAAAAAGGAATATAGAAGGCTGGTTAAGTACATCATGGAACATGTGTTAAATGGAAGGCTGTACAACCTTAAAATTATATAGTAAATGAACATGAAATTATCTGGAAATAGATTCATAACATATTAAAGAAAAAAGGCAGCACAAGAGTATAGAATGTGTAATCCCATTTTTGATGAAACGTGTACACGTGCATATGCCTACTTCATACAAAAACGTATATACACATGCATATGTGTATATTTTTTATACAAAAATGACTGGGAAGTAACATCGAGGCAGCATCATGGAACGAATCTTACCTGCTTCTTTTCGCATACTTGTATTTTCAAACTTTTTACAGTGAACATGTGTTATTACATAAGTAATAAGGGGCGGGGGAGATTTCAATATAACGGGAAAGCTATGGGAGGATGAGCCATCCCGAGGTTTTGAACTCCAGGCAGGTGGGAGCCCACAGCAGTAGCTCGGAAGGCCGACGGCTTTTTACTGGTACAGAGGCGAGGTGCTTCTGGCACCGGCTTCGTGCTCCAAGTCGGTCACTCATACACATGCCCTCCCACGAGGAAAGACACAGCAGCTGGAGGCCAGCTCAAGAGGAGAACCAGTCCCTCTCCCCGCCCTTCCCTCTAGCTCCCCGAAGGCCCTGGCTCCCGTCTGTGAACGTGCTACACACCTAGAGAGCTGGGCCAGTGCCTGTGCGGTCTCCTCAGTGCGGAGCGTGTTCTGGTTAAGGACGTCGATGGACGGGACAAACAGGCAGGCCCGGCTGATGTCATCCGTGTAGTAGTCGCTGTCTGAGATGGCCGTGAGCAGTTCGTTATACTCCCGGGAGATGGTGTTGCTGACGGGGACACCAGCATCATCCACGTACTTTTTCAGAGAGTAGATATACACCTTGATTTTGTTCTTCGGGTTGAAGCCACAGCGGTAGACATCAAAACACGTGTGCATCCTGCAGCTGAGATCGCCGCGCTCGGGGCTGGGACTATCGGCCGGCAGCCTGACCACGGGCACGTCGCGGACGCTGCGCTTCTCTACGTTCCAGTCACTGGAGGACTCGATGGAGTGGGGCCAGAACTGAAACATGCCGGTGGCAATGAGGCCCAGCAGGACGATGGAGAAGAGGGTGACGTAGTAGATTCGGTGCTTGGTCTTCATTCTTGGGATGAGGGCAGGACCCCGGATATTGTACTTGACCGAGGCACACATAATGACACAGACAGCCTCTTCCTCCCACTCCTAGTTCCAGGGGGAGACACGAGAAAAATGAAGCAGGCAGAGCAGCAAGTGAGCCTGGAAAGGACTGTTGGACATTCAGCATACCTATCTCTTTCCCTGAAGCGGTTTGAGGAAATAATGAAAAGGGATTTTTGACCCTTCTTGTAAATATATTCGAATATATATTTGTGTATTAAATGTGTGCTATATGCCATATCTAGTATTTAACATTGTACACACTAAATACAAATGTTGATAAATTTAACTATATCCTATAAATACATATTCAATGAAAGCATAAGTCATAAATGCGTGGGGCCTAGGAAGAGGGGCGCTGACCAAGGAAGAAAGTCAAAATTAGAATAAAGATAGTTGTTTTATTTTGTTTTTAAACACTTGGCTAACATATGGGGCACCTGGGTGGCTCAGTCGGTTGAGCTTCCGACTGTCGGTTTCGGCTCAGGTCATAATCTTGGGGTAGTGGGATCGAGCCCCATGGGCTCCACATTCTGCAGGGAGTCTGCTTGAGAGTCTCTCTCTGCCCCTCCCCCCAGTCTCTAAATAAATAAAAATCTTTAAAAAAAAAAAAACACTTGCCTAATATAAACTGATGCTTCATTGGACAAACTGGCTCTTGGTTATCCTAAAATCTGTTTTCATTCACTTATTCAGGCAACCCTGTGATGAGCGAGCACTGACCACGCACTGTGCAAGAAACGAGGAAGAAAAGCAAAGACTCCACCTTACGGGAACTTATATTCTACTGAGGGAGGTAAGACAAAGCTATGATAAAATGCAAAATGTAAAAATATCACTAGGAAAGTTTCAATAAGGTGCCAAGGACTAGTAGGCTAGATTACTCTTTAATCTTTAAATAAAATATAGTGATGTTTCGTAAGGTGACAAATTGACACATTTAGATGGAAGGAAAGAAGAAAAGCATAGGGAGATAGGGAGGGAGGGAAAGAAGGGTCAATGTGGTGGGTCAATTTCCAAAGACTGATGCCAACAATTCTTCACATCTTTGAATGTGCATGCCACTTTTCTAATCAAAAGGTAGAATCTATTTCTCTTCCCCCCTGAATCTGGGCTAGCCTTGTGACTTGCTCTGACCGGGAGGATGTGGCAGAAGTGACATTCTCGGGCTTTTGAGCTCAGGCCTTAAGAGACCTGTAGCTGCTGTTTTGTCCTCTGGGAACCCAGCTGCCATGCCATCAGGAAGCTAGGCTCCCAGCTGAAGGTAACCCCAGGGAGACCCCACTGCAAACTGAATAAAACAGACAGGAACCACCCCCAGCAAGTTCTGCACAGACTGCAGAATCCTGAGCAAATACATGGTAGTTACTGTTGCTTGGGTCACTAAATCTTGGGTTGGTTTGTTATACAGCAATACCTGAATGAAACAGCCAGTAAGCATCTCTGATACAAAGAAATTCTTAGTCCTCACCTGAAAATACGGACTTTCCTTGTAGATCACAACTTAAGATCCTTACCAAACAAGCCTGCCCCATCGGATGCCTGGATACTGTGTGGGGAGGGCAGAGCCGTGGGACTGCACCAGGTGTCACTGCGGTAAGCTGCTTCGGGCAAGCCACGTGTCAAAGTCCCAACCTACAAAATGGTCTCATTCTACTCACTGGTATTTCAGAAAAGCTATTAATAAAAAGGGAAATAACTGAAAAGTTCATAGACCATCTTCAAGGTTAGCAACCATTTTTACTTTGGCTAAATGGCACTCTCCCGCATCACTGCCCACATGGCAAAACAGCTTCCGGCCCAGCTGGTGGGGTGCTGCCAAGCCTTGAATGTTGCAATCGCACCAGCTTTGGGGGCAAAATGTAAACAGTCACAAAAGATTTCAACTTGTATCTCCTGTGACCATCACCTGGAATGTAAGAAATCTGCTGGTCACAGATGATTGCATGAAGGTACATATATTTTTAAGCTTAAAAATTATCATCTTTGGGGAACATGCATCAACCATTCACATATGCTCATTGATTCCAGGACAGAAATATGAGCATGAGAGCCATTTCACTGTTTCCGTCATTCTAACCACCAGCTTGCCCCTACTCCCTACTACCTCCAGTGCCCCGCCCCCCGGCCCCAAGGTAGCTTTCTTGGCACTCTCTGTGTCTCTGTGGGAGCTAGAAGATAGGAAGCCTCAGCACAAACGCAGGCAACTGCTGTTGGTTTTGGCTCAGGTCATAATCTCAGGGTGGTGGGATCGAGGCCCACGGGCTCCACATTGTGCAGGGAGTCTGCTTGAGAGTCTCTCTCTGCCCCTCCCCCCCCAGTCTCTAAATAAATAAAAATCTTAAAAAAAAAAAAAACCACCTGCCTAACATAAACTGATGCTTCATCTGGACAAATTGGCTCTTGGTTATCCTAAAATCTGTTTTCATTCACTTATTCAGGCAACCCTGTGATGAGTGAGCACTGACCACGCACTGTGCAAGAAACGAGGCGGCAAGTCAGAACTCCCCAGCAGGCTCTCCAGGTACATTTATCCCCTGGATTGGTGGTTCTCAAACACCCAAAGGGTGAGCATCACAGGGGCAGCTTGTTAAACCACAGTCTTTGGCCCAGGTGCCGGAGGTCTGTACTAGCCTGTCTAAAATAGGGTCACCGAATCTGGCATTTTAGCAGGCTCCTCAGTGCTTTTTGGTGTCATCAGGTTTGAAATCTTGACTGAAATTAGACAAACTACCTTTTAACACAGTGGCTTTCACACTTTTTTTTTTTTTTAACTAAAACCTACAATAAGAAATACATTTTATATTGTGACCCAATACAGATAAACGTGTGTGTGTATTTTAAATAAAAGCTTCACAGGGACCCCTGGGTGGCTCAGTTGGTTCAGCAGCTGACTCTTGATTTCAGCCTAGGTCATGATCTCAGGGTCCATGGAGCCCATGTTGGGCTCCCTGCTCAGCGGGGAGTCCGTTTCAGGACTCTCTCTCCCTCTGCCCCTCCCCCTGCTCATGCGCGCTCTCTCTCTCTTTCTCTAAAATAAATAAATACATCTTTTAAAACAATTTTTAATTAAAAAAAAGAAGTAAAAGCTTCACAAAACAATATTTAATATTCAACCTTAGTATACAATACTAGCCATAGAACATGGAACAAACATGGTATTTTTCTATTCTGTTATTCTTTTTTTAAAATGCTGGCCTTACCTACTAGATGAATTATATCACCTAATAATGGGTCATGCACAGTTTGGAGAAAAACTGATTTCATATATAATAAAACTGGGATTAATGGAACAAAAATAGAATCCACGTGAGCTTACAATGTTCATGAGTTACTATGAAAAAGGCACTATCACAACAAAATAAACCCAAATAGAAGGAAATAAGTAATAAACAAAAACAGTAATTAATTAATTTAAAAAAATAGGAAGGATCAACAAAGCTAAAAGTCGCTTTTAAAGTTTTTTTTTTTAAGATTTATTTTAGAGAGAGCGCACGAAAGAGAGTGTGCACATGAGCAGTGGGGAGGGGCAGAGGGAGAGAGTCACAAGCAGACTGAGTGTTGAACATGGAGCCCAAAGTGTGGCTTCATCTCACAACCCCGAGATCTTGACCTGAGCCGAAACCAAAAGTCGGACACTTAATCAACTAGACCACCCAGGCACCCCTAAAAGTTGCTTTTTTAAAAAGGTGAATAAAACTGACATTTGATATAATTCTGGTAGAATTAATCAAGATAAAGGAAAAAAGGCACAAATAAATATCTAGAATGAAAACTCTAAATGCTGCCTGTACTTAAAAGATGGTATCAATGAACTCCCACCAATATATTTGAAAACTTAGATGAACTAGAAAAATTCTTTAAAAACAAAACTTTAGGGGCACCTGGGTGGCTCAGTCGGTTGACCGTCTGCCTTCGGCTCGTGTCATGATCTCAGGGTCCTGGGATCGAGCCCCGCGTCGGGCTCCCTGCTCGACGGGGGGCCTGCTTCTCCCTCTCCCACTCCCTCTGCTTGTGTTCCCTCTCTCACTGTGTCTCTCTCTGTCAAATGAATAAATAAAATCTTAATAAATAAATAAATAAAAACTTTAAAAATCTTCCTATAAAGAAAATTTCAGGCCCAGAAGTTCTACTGCACATTCAAGAAATAATTCCAATTTTACACAAATTATTTCCAAGTCCAGAAAGAAAGGTGAAACACTCCCCAGCTTCTATTAGGAGACTAGTACAACCTTAATACCAAAATCTCACACTGGTGGTTCTCAAAGTACATCTGACGCCAGGAGTCCCCATGACCCTTTCAAAGGCTCTGAATAATACTGGCAGGATTTTTTCACTTTCATTTTCGAGGCCATGTGACACATGTTATCGTAAAGACTACAGAAGTAGATATGAGAATCCAGCTGTCTTCTGATAAGTTTTTCCTAATGCAATGAAAGATATCAACTCACAGATTCAAGATGCTCAAATTTGGGGCACCTGGGTGGCTCAGTTGATTAAGTGACTGCCTTCGGCTCAGGTCATGATCCTGGAGTCCCGGGATCAAGTACCACATCAGGCTCCCTGCTCAGCGGAGGGTTTGCTTCTCCCTCTGACCCTCCCCCTTCTCATGCTCTCTCTCTCTGATAAATAAGATCTTCAAAAAAGAAAAAATGCTCAAATCCAAGCAGAATATATACCAAAAAAAAAAAAAAAGCCACCTAGATATGTCACAGTAAAACAACTAAAAAGAAAGCTAAAGAAAAAAAATGTTAAAAACAGCCAGAGGGGAGAGAAGTCTATCCAAGATCTATTAAAAAACTACGTGTAACAGGCAAAACTATAAAATACTTAGAACAGAAATCTCTATGACTTCTGGGCAGAGAATGATTTCTAAAACAAAATACAAGAAGTGCAAACCATAAAAAGATAAAATGACAAAACCTGTGTTACAATTAAGAATTTTTGTTCATCAAAAGACACCATATAGAAGTAAAAAGACAATCAATAAACTAGTAGAGACCTGCAATCTGATAAGGACTAGCAACCCAAATAAAGAATGCCTA